TTCTGAGAATGGGTGTTTTAAGGAATTAAATAAAAATTAGAACGATTGCTTTTGGTTTATTAAATCTGTAACTCAATCCTACAATTTAATTTCTTCCTATCTTGCTCATCTCATTGGGATTTCTCCCAGGAATTTTGATAGAGAACAGTTAAATAAAAGACAGTCAACTTAATGATTTAAATATACATAATTTGTATGCTCTGTTCACAAATTCTGTAAATTTCTCTTATAAATCTAAGTTTATATTTCTCATTCTGAGTGCTGGCTTATAATTAATTATGCAAAGTCACTTTTCTTGAGGATAGATTATTGAGGGAAACGGAGGGAAAACTCCATCTTTTATCTCACACTGATCTGGGAAATACTTTATTCTTCTAACTATTTCTTTCCTTATGCCTCACTTTTGCATCAAGGCTATATAAAAAACTTAGAATAAAGGTTCATAACTCCTTGACAAAGAGGAAGTGTGAACAAATTGAAAATTCATTAAAAAGTGGGTGAAGATAGTGACCATGCTCAAAAACTTATTAACTACTGAAAATGTAAAAAATTTTCTCATAATTGGTAAATATCAAGTGATCATTAAAGAATTCAATTAAATTGTGAAGTATATATATATACACACACACACACATATATATGTATATATTTTTTTTTCTTTTTTTTTTTTGTGGCTGTGGATAGCTTCATAGTGCTACCCACAACCCCCTCAGCTACCAGGGAAACCCTCTAATATTTCTTTTCTTTCTTTTTTTTTAGATTCAAACTTTCATTAATTAATTAATTAATTAATTAATATTTTGAGGTAGAAATTTTTATTTTTATTTTTACATCAATGAAGTATATTCTTAATGAAAAATAAATACTTCCAGGTTTCATAGACTATGATACACATATTTGCACCTGTTTTGAGAACACTTGTGCTTGGGACTCTCATCGATCAAACATTTCTTGAATGAAGACTCTTTGGATACATTTAACCTCCTGACTGATATATTATGAACAATCCCTTTTTTATGCACAGAAAGTATCTGTAATCTCTTAAGCAATTTTTGATGATACAGTAAGTTTCTAGTTGCTTGGAAACCCGATTTTGATGGTTAAACTGGCAATCTGCTTTTACCAAAGACTTTGATGACACTTCACTAGCTTCCCCTGAGAGGCTAAGCTCATTAAAGGGACAGCAGGCAGTCAGTCAACCTGAAACCATTTTAAGAGCAATGAAGATGCCAAGGAACCCCTCTAGTGGGGGTGTAGAAAACTTTGGACAGAGGGAACATGTCATTCTCAAGAAACGTGATCTTTACCATGAAACACTCAATTCTTAACAAAATGTCTTTTGGTTTCCTCAAAAAGAGCATCTACCCAGAATTCTACTGGGGTGGATGTCCCTGTCCTTTGGGGCACAGTGTTGGCTGTGGTTCTGGTAGCAACATCTCCCCAGTGGGCTTCAGCATTAGATGTGAATATGGTGACTTCTGACCATTTGACTTTAGAAGATAGTAGATATCAGGCCTCTACTAATCAACCCTTGACCATGTGAACTGTATTAGAATCTGTGTTCTCAGGAATCAAATCTGAAGCTATGTTTTATTGACATCTATCTAGGAGATGAAATGTGGACTTCAGATACTCTACAAACTGCACTAAGGAAAAGTCAAGTGATCATGAACTGGACCTTAATTGAAGTCTTGATTTATCTTGATAGAAGATTGACTTATTTAAAATTTTCCCAATGTGTTTGTTTCTCACTAAATTCTAGTCCAATTTATTTTCAGTGACTCCTATTCTAATAAACATGCTTAATTTAGCCTACAAACATGATTTCCATTTTTATTCTCAATTCATTCTTTGTGGCTATCTTTTCCTATTGCATTTTGTACTTTGATGGCAGTACTAAGTATTCTGTTTATTAAAGTAATTCATATTACAGTTTTGAGTAAATAGCTAG